TTTTTTTTTTTTTTAATATGTTTTTGCCATATTGCATATGAACTTGCTGGAGAGACAGAGACAGAAAGAAGGAAAATGTGGATCATCCCCCAGTGGAATGACTAAGCAGCAATCTCTTCTCCTCCATTCTCCTTTTAAGATTTTGGGGACACATGTACATATGTCTGGTATGTTTTTCAAGCTGTTGGGTCTGGGACGCAAACCATGGAAATGACCACATGGGATCCTGCACTTTAACCACCATACCACCTGCTGGCCCCTTGGCTACACTTTCTTACAAAGTTTAAAATATATCTTCTCATTTTTTCTTTACCTGCATTCCGTCAGTTGAGGGTCTGAGGTTAGTTTGATGAGGTAACCTTTGTAAGTAACTTGACATCTCTCTTGCCATTTTTAGATTATTGTCTTTGTCTTATTTTTTATCATTTTGACTATGATGTGCCTTGGAGAGGGTCTTCATATGTTGAATCAGTTAGGTTGTAGGCAAAGTTATAACATTTTTCTATGCAAAAATGTGTCATGACTTTCCCTATAACCCAGTATTTGGTGTTCTTTGTATTTCGTGGATCTGGATATCTGTATGTCTCTAGATTTGGGAAGCCTACAGATACTACTTCATGAAAGAGATTTGTGTCTTTAGCCATCTCTTTGCCTTCTGATATACTCACTGTGCAGAAATTTGACTGCTTAATGGTGTCTAGAATTTTCCATATGTTGTCCCTCACTCCCTCATTTTTTGGTTATTTTTTCATTCTATTTGGCAGATTATATTAGATTGGAGGTTTTTGTCTTCAAGGTCAGCGATTCGTCTGTGTGGTTTAATCTGCTATCAATACTTCTGAGAGATTTTGATTTCCTCTCTTCTTTCATCTTAAGTTCTGTTTGATTCATGTTTTTTTAAATTTCATTTTCTATTTTACATTCAAAACTGCCTTCTGTCAATGAGGATGGGAGAAAGTTTGCTTTTCATTTGAGTAAGGCCAATTATTAAATGCAGATTGGGGCCAGATGGTGATTAAGGCAGCCGGTCCCACGTGGCCACCTACGCAGTTCAAGTCCTGGACTCGGTGATTTGAAAAACACATGGTGTGTGTGTGTGTGCTCCAAATCCTGAGAGAATGGAGGAGAAGGGGTTGTAGTGTGATCATCCTCCTGGGGTGGTGGTGGTTGCTTTCTCACTTTCCCCCGTGGTGATGGTTGCTTTCTCACTTTCCCCCTCTTGATCTCTGTCTCTCTGACTTCGGCAAGCACATGAGCCCTATAGCAAAAAATTAAAAATATATAAATAAAAATTAAAAACTAAAAATTAAAGTGCCACAAATACTATACCAAGGGGAATGGCAGAACTTCACACCTATGTTTGTGATCTTGGTACTTTTATTTTTTAAGCATGCATGTGTGTGTGTGTGTCTGTTTTTGTTGTTATTATAGGGCACATGTACTTGCCAGAGAGAGACACAGAGAGAGAAAGAAAAGCAAGAAATCATCCTCCCGGGGGGATGGCTGCGCTACAATCCCTTCTCCATTTCCCACCCGGGATTTTGGGCATGTGCACACATGTGCCTGGTACGTTACTCAAACCAGTCAGTTGGCCATGTGGGATCCAGCTACCTTAACCACTACACCACCTGTTCTGGCCCGTGTGTGTGTGTGTGTCTGTGTGTGTGTGTAAGTTTATTTCTTCTACGAGCAAGAGAGAAAGTGAGAGAGAGAGAGAGACAGGACCCTTACAGGGCTTTGACACTGGTATCTGCCCCAGTTTTAGCCAGCCCTGCCTCTCAGGCACACGTGTACCTGGCATACTCAGGTGGGTCTCTGAATTCAAACCTTCAATCTTCCAATGTGATCAGCTTTGCAGACTATCATGTTTTACTGTTGCACCACTCTCCGACTCTCATCTCTGTTTTTTTAAAAATTTATTATTAAAAATTTACATTTAATCACTGTACATCTTTACAATGTACCACATGGGTTTTCCCAGCATGACTAAAGTGCATATTAGTCAAGTCAAAGGCATTACCATATTTCATCTCTGTTTTTGTTTGTTTTTAGTTTTTTTGCCATAGAGTGCATGTGCTCGCTGGAGGGAGACAGGGAGAAATGGAAAAGAGGGAAAATGAGAAATCGCCCCCCCCAGGGGGATGGCCACACCACAGTCCCCTCTCTTCCATTCTCCTCCTGGCATTTTGGGCACATACACACCTGCTCCCAGTGTGATTTTCAAGCTACCAGGTCCAGAACCAAAACCATAGTCGGCCACGTGGGAGTCCAGCGCCATAACCAGCGTGTTACCTGTTGGCTTCTCTTCTGTTTTTGATATTTCAAATCCCTTATGTGGACTGATAGAATAATAAAAGAATCTCAACCTCTTGTAGACTTGGCCTTAGAAAGCTTTGACCTTTCTGAGTACATTCCTTGTGTATCATAATTTCATGGCATTTTGTGGACTCCAGAAGCAATAATTCTACTGAAAATCTACCAATTCTTTAATATTGAACTCAAGTTCACCTAAACATTGAAAGTAAATGTGTTCTTGCAAGTATTGTTCATAATTATTTCCATAAAGTAAGAATGAGCTGAGTATTCTTAAGTTTCTTTTTACTGGTAAAAATTATGCTTCTGGATGATGGAAGTGGAATAGTTCTTATTAATTTTATCAAAAATTGGGACCCGCAGTTAGCGTAATGGCTGTGTCACTGGACTCCCACATAGTCGACTGCGGTTCGTGTTCCGGGCCTGGTGGCTTAAACTCATGCCGGGAGCATGTGCGTGCGTGCCCAAGATCCCGAGAGGAGAATGGAGGAGAAGGGATTGTGGCGTGGCCATCCCCCCTGGGTGGTGATTTCTCACTTTCTGTCTCTCTGTCTCTCTCTGTCTGTCTGGCGAGTGCACGCACCCTATAGTGAAAACCTCTCAAAAATTTTTTTTTATCAAAAATTAATGGAGAGGGAACCGGCAGTTAGCGTAATGGCTATGTCGCTGGACTCCCACGTAGTCGACCGCGGTTCGTGTCCCGGACCCGGTGGCTTAAAAAAACTCACGCCGGGCGCATGTGCGTGCGTGCCCAAGATCCTGAGAGGAGAATGGAGGAGAAGGGATTGCGGCGTGACCATCCCCCCTGGGGGGTGATTTCTCGCTTTCTGTCTCTATGTCTCTCTCTGTCTGTCTGGCGAGCGCACGCGCCCTACAGTGAAAATCTCTCCAAAAAAAAAAAAATTAATGGAGATTGGTTTAGTTTAGTTACATATTTGATAACCTGTAATACATATCTGTCATGTGTATTAGTTTTATTTATTTATTTAGTTTTGTTAAGAGGGTGAATGTGCTAACCAGAGAGAGACAGAAAGAGTGGGAGAGGAGAAAACATCCCCTGTGGGGAAGGTCACATCACAATCTCTTTTCCATCTCTCTTTCCTTTTGAGACTTTGGGCATGTGTCTTTTTTCTTTCTTTTTCTTTGTTTCTTCTTTCTTTATTTCTTTTTTTTTTTTAAGAGAGAATTTTGCTATGTGATGCGTGCACTCGCCAGAGAGACAGATAGAGATAGAGAGACAGAAAGTGAGAAATCACCCCCCATAAGGGATTGTCATCCTGTAATCCCTTCTCCTCCATTCTCCCCTCGGTATTTTTGGCACACACGCACACCCAGTATGAGTTTCAAGTCACTGGGTCTGGGACTCGAACCATGGCTGGCCATGTGGGAGTGCAGCGACTTAACCATTACGCCATCTGCTGGTTCCCCAGTTTGTTTCTTAAGCTGCCAGTTCCAGCATTTGAACTTCCTAGTAGGCCATGTGAAATCTAGCTGCCTTAATCACTACGCACTCCTGGTCTTCTGTTTGCTTTTGTTTATAGGAGTATGTGTGTTCAATTAAACAGTAGTCCAATAGCAAATAACAGTTTATTATTGTTCAGTCTTACAATGTCAACATCAATGCTAATAAAAATATATAATAGGCTGAATTAATCAGTAAGAAAGTCAGTTGTAGTCATTTGAAAGTTCCCACCTTTCAAAGTAAGCCATCATTGATCAGTTGAAATTCTCTATTCTGTTGAATTTTAGTCTTTCTCTGTTGAAGGCTGGGCATGGTACAGGCATCCCTACCAGCAGGGGAAGAAAAGCAGAGCTGGAACGGATGGGCACAGTGCCATGAGTGCCTGTCCACCCATGCAGGACTGACGGTTCTGGGTTTCAACATTCTTCAGGATTTAGCAAGTAAAAATCAGCATAATTCAGATCTAGACAAATGCAAAAGGCTTCAGTTTTCACCTGAAGTTGTTTTTCTCTTCACAGTATTTGCATTTTAAAATAAAATTAAGTTTTTCTATCTATTGCAATTTTACATATTGAGATTGTGGGTTCTTTTCAGATTGGATTTTTTTTTTTTTTTTTTTGAGAGAGATTTTCACTGTAGGGCGCGTGCGTTCGCCAGACAGACAGAGAGAGACATAGAGACAGAAAGCGAGAAATCACCCCCCAGGGGGGATGGTCACGCCGCAATCCCTTCTCCTCCATTCTCCTCTCGGGATCTTGGGCACGCACGCACACGCGCCCGGTGTGAGTTTTAAGCCACCGGGTCCGGGACACGAACCGCGGTCGACTACGTGGGAATCCAGCGACATAGCCATTACGCTAACTGCTGGTTCCCTTTTCAGATTGGATTTTAAGAGATGCTGCTTCACTTGGCTGTTTTCAGGCTATCAGAAGCAGTGATGTCAAAGCTCAGTGAATCAGGACGGGGTTGGTAACATGGTGCCCCTTTAAAAACAAAGACATACAGAAAAGGATATTTTTTTCCAAAAAAATTTGTTTTGACAAGTAGGGGCTTGCTTTGTATATACATGCCATAGTAGAAGACAAAATTGGATTGACTGATACATTCAGAAAATAGGGATTTATTTTCACTAATCAGCCCCATGTGGGTGTGTGAGAGACAGAGCAAGCAATTATTGTTCAGCTTAAGAGAGATACTGTAACTTCCTGAGAACTTTCCAATGAGATAAAATACTGGGTGAGATATTCAGACTTCTGAGCAAGCACTGCAAGGAAAGTATGCTCCGTACATTCATGAGAAACTGCATTAGATTATTCCTCATAACCTAATGGGACATCTATTTAGACGGACGTTTCCGTTGAGAGAAGTGTAAACATGATTCTAAATTTACAGATATGTTGGTTATTCTTCCTTGTCTGTGATGTTGTCAAAGTTTACATGGATTAGAGGAAAAACTGAGTCTGAAAAAGTAATACAATAAAGACAATTGGCACTTATTTTAATACTTCTGTCCAGAGCCTTCTGTTGCGTCACTGCCTGGCTCACATACAAGTGACCTGAGTCACTCCCTCTTCTTGATCCAACTGTCCCTCATCTATTTCCTGGAGGACACTGTTACTGCTGAGCCCGAAGAGGTTGGGGTGCTGTGCCGACCTCCCCTCCTTCGTCCAACATTCTCTGGAGAAAGAGAGGAAGCTCTCCTTGGACGGGTGCCTGCCCTCCGTGGCTTGTGACGTGGCCGTGTCTGACCCGGCGCTCTTACTGGCGACTTTGTTCCCGTCCTCACCTTTCACTTGCTGGCTGGCTTTCCTCTGAAACACAGGGATTGGCAAGCAGGAGTTAAAAGACGTGTTTTGCGGCCCTCGGCTCTAAGCACAAGCTGTTTCTCGGCCTGAAAGGGCCTCTCCCTGCTTCTCTGCAAACTCCTGGTCACCACCTGCAAGGGCTCGCTTGGCGCCGCCCTCCGCAGGCCCCACCCCCTCAGTTCACACGAGCTCCTCTCTCTCCCACGACTCTCTGTAGATTTCTGCCACGGTTCTCATTGGCAGGGAAGTCGTGTCCACGCCCTCAGTGACATGTCCGGGGAGAGAAAGGCGTGAACACATACTCTGGGGAACAAAGCAAGGTGGAAATACGAACGTCTGTTCCTTCTTGGTGTTAGTTGGGACTGCACAGTGGAAACAGTGCTCCAATGGCCACCCTACCGCTTCCTGCCCCCCATTCACATAGGCACAGGCTGCACAGAAGAGTCATGCATAAGCCGCACTGAGCTGATTTTTAATGAATGCCCGTGCTGTCTTCTTAAGTCAGTCAGGCCTTTCCCCTGGTTCTGCCGCAAAGTGCTTCTGCCTGAAACAGCCTTAATGCCCAGCGATGTGAGCCAGCCCATCCGCAAGACTACCTAATAAACTGTGGCTGTCTTTGGTCACTAATATCTACTGTCTACTAAGGGCTGACAATGTCCTTGGTGCTGCTCAGACTGAAGAGGATGTGGTCTCTGCTGAGTCAATGCAAGGAGAGCTCAAGGAGGATTAGCTGCTCCACACATGCGTGTTTGGACTCCCAGTGAGATTTTGTTACAAGCACTTATTTACTGCTGATCACATGACATACAGTAAAATGTGATCATACACTCTTTTCCTTTTAGGTTTTTCCCATAAGGTACGTGCGCTCTCCAAAGAGAGACAGAGACAGTGAGACTCAGTGAGAGGGAAAGTGAGAAATCTCCATCTTGCGGGATGGCCATGCCAAAATCCCTTCTCCTTCATTATCCTCTTGCGATTTGGGGCATGTATGCACGTTCACCTGGCATGATTTTCAAGCCATCTGGGACTCAAACTGTGGTTGACCATGTGGGAACCCAGTGCCTTAACCATGACACGACCTATTGGCCCTAGACTTTGTTCTTAAATTTGCCCAAGGACTCCAATAATCTGAAGAAAGAGCTGAGCTGCCCCCCAGCTGCCAATACACTCCTTTCTAGTAGCAGGCAGGCTGCGTCCTCTTGCACTAACAATGTGGTAACAGCGTTCCCTTCCACAGTAGCCCACAACGTCTGATTTAATAAAGTTGTTGGTTTGTTTTGTACATGTGCAATAAAAACCAGTAGAAGATACTTCTGTGTTTTATACACTACAGTTCTGCACATCTATGAATTAACTAACTTTTGTAAGACCAACCTGCGTATCGGACTTCCATGCTTTTTCTAAAAGTTTTACACTTTTAGTTCTTACGTTTAGGAAAATGTAAACTTAGTTCCTAATATATAAATTAATTTCCAATAAATAAATTTTAGGGTTAGATGGTGGCACGGAGGTTATAGCACTGGGTCCCACATGGCCAACTCCAAGGCTGGAGTCTCAGACCCAGCAGCTTAAAAAATCACACCGGGCGCCAAATCTAATTGAAATAGAGGTTTTTAGGTAATAATCCGATGAGTTTTAGCTTCATCTTTAAAAGAATCTAAAAAGGAGGTCTCGGAGGAGAAATGAAAAAGAACATTGAACAGATGGAGGTAAAATCCTGATCAGAGTCTTATCCTTTCGGCATTGCTATAATTTCCTTGAATCCTTTTAAAGGTCTCTCCTCAAAATAAGGAAAAATAACAACAGGTAAAAGAACAGCAAGAAGGTCAGCTGGTGGGGTAGTGGTTAAGGCAGATGGCGCCCACATGGCTAAGTCCGTGGTTCCAGTCCCAGTCCTAGTGGCTGGGAAAACACGCGGAATGCAGGTGCATGCTCACGGTCTCGGTAAAAAGGAGGGACGGAGGAGTCAGGCTTGCAGTCCTACAGCTACCCATGAGGGGTGCTTTCTCGCTTTACCGCTTTCTCTCTTTCTATGGTGAGTGCATATGCTTTCTGACAAATAATAATAAAAAAGCCAGATTTAAACAACTGTCTCATGCTTTTTAAATTTTATTTTTATTTGTCAGGCAGTGCATGTGCTTGCCAGAGAGAGACAGAGAAGAAAAGCAAGAAACCATCCCTCATGGAGAATGGTCATGCTACAATCCCTTCTCCAGCTCTCTCTCCTTTCAGGATTTTGGCACACACACACACATGCTTCTGTTGTGTTTTTCAAGCTACCGGGTCTGGGACTTGAACTATATAGTTGGCCATAGGGATCCAGCTACTTTAACCATCAGGCCATAGGCTGGCCCAGAATTGGGCTTTATTAATACATCGTATAGCCCACATGGAGAGAAAAAAAGGTTTACAACCTTGGATTTTTTGGCATGCACACATACATACACACCAGGCATGATTTTCAAGCCACTACGGCTGGACTTGATCCTCAGTCAATCATGTGAGAGTCCAGTGTCTTAACTACCATGCCACCTGCTATCCCCAGACCCTCCCCCACCCCCAGTTGTTTTCTTAGTTGAGTTTTGAGATTTTGAGATATAGTCTGGATATGAGTCCTTTCTCCTATATGTGATTTGTGAGATTTTTCTCTGTTTGTGATTTGTCCTTGCATTCACTCATTTATTTACTTATTTTGATTTGCCAGAGGGCATGTGTACTTACCAGAGACAGTAGGAAAGAGAGAGAGAGGGAGGGGGGAGGGAGAAAGCACCCCCTAAAGGGATGCTGACACAGCATAATCTCTTCTCCTCTACTTCTCCATCCTGTCGAAATTTTGGTCATACATGTACACTTGCCTGGCTTGTTCTTCAAGCTACCAGGACTGGGATTTGAACAATAAAGTTGACCATGTGGGTTCAGGCTTCCTTAACTACCAGGCCCTGAACCAGCTCAGGCTGATCTTTTTATTCTCTTAACAGTGTCATTCACAGAGCAAAAGTTGTAAATTTTGATGAATTCTAATTTATCAAAAAAATTTTACAGGGGAACCAGCAGTTAGCATAATGGCTATGTCACTGGACTCCCACGTAGTCGACCGCGGTTCGTGTCCCGGACCCGGTGGCTTAAAACTCACGCTGGGCGCGTGTGCGTGCGTGCCCAAGATCCCGAGAGGAGAATGGAGGAGAAGGGATTGCGGCGTGACCATACCCCCTGGGGGGTGATTTCTCGCTTTCTGTCTCTATGTCTCTGTCTGTCTGGCGAGCACATGCGCCCTACAGTGAAAATCTCTCAAAAAAAAAATTTTACAGGATTATGCCTTTTATGTTCTATGTACTCTTTGCCTAAACCCATTTTATGAAGATTTTTTTCCAAATTTTTTCTGAAAGTTTTTTAATTTTGTAGAAACTAACTATCTTTTAATAGCTTAAAGAAAACTGAGGCCATAAGTAAGAGTATAGATATATATTTTAAATTTTATTTTTCATCATCATCATCATTATTTTTAAGGTTTGCACTCCCTAGAGAGGGAGAGGAAGAGAAAGTGACAAAGCAAGCTGCCAGATCTGGGACTTAAACTGCTGCCGGCCACGTGGGAGTTCAGTGTCTTGACCACCTTACCACTTGCTGGCCCCCAAGAATATAAATATTTTGAATAGACATTTTTCATGTCTCCCAAAATACTCACAGTATCTAGCATATTGTGTAACACATTTTGTGAAATATGAAATCGATTCCCAAAGTAAAGGTCTTAATAACTTCAGAAGAAAAAAATTCTAACAATAGACTTTATTCATGTGCAATTCTTGTTTTCCTCCCTCCATAACAGGGGCATGAAATGGATTTGTTTAACATAAAACTAATGCTCTAAGCTGAGTGCAATTGAAAAGGGAAAGTCTTAAATTTCTCTACATTAGTTTTACTAGAAAAAAGAGAAAATTTATTTCAAGGGTTGAACTCTAGGTCATTTTCTACCACTTTATGAAATGTATCATTTCAATAAAATCTCCTTAGCAAAGCCAGGTTGTGGCGCAGTAGTAATGCAACTGGATCCATATGGGAGAGGTCCAGGGTTCACACCCTGTAGATTCCCTGAGCATGCTCAGTGTGTGTGCGTGTGCCCAGGATCTAGACGGATTGTGGCATGAAGACCCTGAGGATGCTTTATTTCTCTCTCTCTCTCAGGAAATAAATAAATATGAACAACAACAACAACAACAAAATCTCAGGGCTGGCAGGTGGCATGGTGATTAAGGTACTAGACTCCCACATGGGCAGCCACTATTTGAGTCTTGCACCTGATGATTTGCTTTCTCACTTTCCCACTCTCTCTGGTGAGCAAATGTACCCTAAAAAATTTTAAAAAACAATAATGATAAATAATTTAAATTAAATAATTCTTAAAAAAAAAAACCCAAAAAACAAAAAACAAAAAAAATCCTTTGCAATCCCAGGGCAACATTCGTAATGTTTCAAATGTCCACCAACTGTTTTTTTTAGGACTAAATACCCTTTAAAAAATTATTTGAGGGGCTGGCAGGTGGTGTGGTGCTTAAGGGTGCTGAATTCCCACATGGCCAACTGCAGTTAGAGTACCAGACCAGACAGCTTGCTTTCTCACTTTCTCTCTCTCTTGTTCTCTCTCTGTCTCTCTCTGGTCAAATTAAAAATAAAATAAATAGGGACCAGCAGTTAGCTTAATGGCTATGTCGCTGTAGTCAACCACAGTTTGAGTCCCAGACCCGGTGGCTTAAACTCATACCGGGCACGTGTGTGTGCGTGCCCAAGATCCTGAGAGGAGAACGGAGAATAAGGGATTGTGGTATGGCCATCCCCCCTGGGGGGTGATTTCTCACTTTCTGTTTCTCTGTCTTTCTGGCAAGCACATGTGCCCTATAGCAAAAAAAACCTCTCCAAAAAAAGAAAACAGACAAATAAATAAAGTTAAATAAAATAATTCTTAAAAATAGTTATTTGGGGACCAGCAGTTGGCGTAATGGCTATGTTGCTGGCCTCCTATGTAGTCAACCATGGTTTGAGTCCCGGATCCAGTGGCTTAAACTCATGCTGGGCATGTGTGCGTGTGTGCCCAAGATCCCAAGAGGAGAATGGAGGAGAAGGGATTGTGGCGTGGTCATCCCCCCTGGGGGGTGATTTCCCACTTTCTGTCTCTCTGTCTCTCTCTGTCTTCCTGGTGAGTGTACGCACCCTATAGCAAAAACCTCTCCAGAAAAAAAGAAATTATTTGAAAAACTTTATAAATGAAGCAATCTCCGTATCAACCCCTCCCAAACAACTAATTTCAATGCACAAACGAAGAACAGTGCCATTATGGATTTATAACCATGTAAAAAATTTTTAAGGCATATTGAAAATATAAACTTCATAAAACACACATGACATAGCTAAATTAACTTTATGGTGAATCAATAATTTACATTTTCAAAGTATTACTATGGTTTTAGATAGACTAGTATCATTTCCCCAAGAGAAAACGATAAGAACTTGCAAATCAGTTTTCTGTTATAACCGTTAGATACATTCGCTTCAGACTAGCCTACCTACATGTTCTGTCCTAAAACAATCTCAATATTCTGAGAAAAATGAAATATTTGTTAAATTTAGAAATAATAAATCTATTTAGGAGCAGAATCCTAAGCTACAAAATGCATTATTCCTGGGTTTATCATTCATACAAGCCAATTATATAGATACTTGCTTCCCATTAGATAAACAGGGCTGTAATTTTATACTACAGTGAATGTAAGAATAATGATTACCCAGAGAAAAGCCACCCATGGAGGAGGCTGAATAGGGGTGCAATGGTAAGATGGGACACTGTAAGGCTGACACACAAGGGAGGGCTCTGAATTTTCATATGGAAACTTCCCTGAGTACACTGGGCACAGGGCTGGCTGAAGCTGTGACCTCAAGCCTCAAGACCCTGTTGGGGGTTTTGTTACTCTGTCTCTCTCATGGAAGAAAGAAAGAAAAATAAGCTACCACTAGTTGATTGGATAGTATTTAGAGTTAAACAAAAATGCTTTGATATATCATTTAGATGAAAAAGCTTTAATTTTACTCACTTCCTGTGTCTGAGCAGTTGAATTCCATATAACTGGCCTCTGAAAGAATACAACCTGCTTTGTAGCCAAATTGCCTTCACTGCAAATGAAAACAACAGCATTAATATTTGTGAGTTAGTAATTTACAATCGTTCTCATTTGTCTAGAATGTTCTACATATATCTTTGTAAAATAATCTTTTGGGGGGGCCAGTAGGTGGTACAGTGGCTGAGGTGCTGAACTCCCACATGGCCAACTGCGGTTCAAGTCCTGGACCTGCTGACTTGCTTTCTTTTTCTCTTTCTCTCTCTCCCCTCTTCTCTCTCTGGTGAGACTGTGTGCTCTGTATCAAATTAAATAATAATAATAATAAAATAAAATAAATAATTCTTAAAAAAAAAACCCTTCTGACCCAGAGATATTGGATTGTTGGGTAAGTCATGATGTATTTTTGCATAGGAAAACAGAAAAATATATCATGACTTTCCTGACAACTTCATAGTTATGAAATATAATTCTACAAAAGTTGTGGCTAACAAAACAAATTCCCCCCAACACCAAAAAATAAAAAAACCCAACAAGCCCACTACAGTCATTACAAAAGTAAACAATTTTTTAAAGATATATTTTTGCCATAGGGCGCATGTACTTGCTGAAGAGACAGAGAAAGACAGAGAGACAGAAAGTGAGAAATCATCCCCCACCCCCAACAGTTATGGTCATGCTACAATCCCTTCTCCATTCTCCTCTCAGGATTTTGGGCATGCATGCACAAGTGCTTAGCATGAGGCTTTTGTTTTTTTTTTGTAGTCTAGTTTTTTTTAAAAAAAGTATTCATCATCATTATTATTATTTTTTAGTTTTGACCAGAGAGAAACAGAGAGAGAGAGAAGGAATGTGAGAAAACAAGCCATCAGACTGAGGACTTGAACCACGGTGGGCCATGTGGGAGTCCAGTGCACTTAACCACAGACCACTGGGTCCAGGAGTCAAATTGTAGTAGGTTACGTGAGAGTCCAGCGACATAAACATTATACCATCTGCTGGCCCCACAAAAGTAAACACTTTTAAAGTTCAAAGACTTTGTAATCTTACCATGCTAACATAACTATTTTCATTTCTTTATTTCCTCTCCTAGTCTTTATTTACTTGTGTATTTTTTCATGACTGTAGCCACTGTATATTTACTTTCTTTTTCTTTTTCTTTTTCTTTTTTTTTAAGAGAGGTTTTTACTATAGGGCTTCTCCTCCATTCTACTCTCAGGATCTTGGGCATGCACGCACATGCGTCCGACGTGAATTTAAGCTACTGGGTCCAGGTTTCAAATCGCGGTCAACTACATGGGAGTCCAGTGACATAGCCATTACACAAACCGCTGGTCCCAATATATTTACATTTTTGATTCAACACCTTTCACTGAAAATCCTTTTCTTATTTATACATTATGATAACGTTTTTTAAAAGAATTATTTATTTAATTATATTTATCAGATTTGTTTAGAAAAGGCATAAACCCAGGATATCCCACCAGGCTAACAGTGGACTTCTCATTGAAAACAATGTGAGCAAGGAAAGAATGGGAAAATATATTCAAAGTGTTGAGGGAAAAGCAATTTCAACCAGGAATACTGTACCCGGCAAGATTATCCTTCATATGGGAAGTAAAGCCTGAAACATTCTCAGATAAACAAAACCTGAAAGAATTTACCAACACCAGACCAGATCTCCAAGAAGTTCTCAAGGGAGTGCTATGTCAGGAAAATTAAATATGGGCACACAGAAATAAGAATTCAAAACTAAGAAAATGGTGGGGACCAGCAGTTAGCGTAATGGCTATGTCTCTGGACTCCCATGTAGTCCACCGCGGTTCACGTCCCAGACCCGGTGGCTTAAAACTCACGCCAGGCGTGTGTGCGTGTGTGCCCAAGATCCCGAGAGGAGAATGGAGAAGGGATTGCGGCGTGGCCATCCCCCCTGGAG